AGTGAAGCTGGAACTAATGTGGAGGTATATGCCTATAATCCTAGAACTAAAAAGGCAGAGGCAGGAGGGTTTTTAGCTTGAGCAACTTAAGAGATACTCAAAATATTAACTAATTTAAAAGGGAGGCTAGGTGAGGTAGCATGAGTCAATGATCCTAGCCACTGGGAGGCTTATGTAAGAGGATCAGTGATGGTCCGGTTTAGCCAGGGCAAAAACTTGAGACCTTATCAGAAAGGTAACTAAAACACACACACACACACACACACACACACACACACACACACACACACACACACACACACACACACACACACACACACACACACACACACACACACACACACACACACACACACACACACACACACACACACACGCTGGGGATATGGCTCAAGTGATAAAGTCTGCCAAGCAAGCCTGAGGCTCTGAGTTCAAACCCAAGTACTGAAAAAAACACACCCTTAAAGTAAACAATATCCTTATTTTTATTTTATTTTTTTATTTTTTTTTGGTCCAGTCGTGGGCCTGAACTCTGGGCCTAGGCACTGTTCCTCAGCTCTACCATTTGAGCCACAGTGCCACTTCCGGCTTTTTTCTTTTTGCTTATGTAGTGCTGAGGAATTGAACCCAGGGCCTCAGGCATGCAAGTCAAGCGCTCTACCACTGAGCCACCTTCCCAGCCCTATCCTAATTTTTAAATGGCCAAAGGATCTAAATAGATATTTCTTCCAAGGATAATACACAAATGGGGAATAAACACATAAAAAGATGGCCACTGAGGAATGGAAATCAAAATCACAATGAGATACTTCACATCCATGAAGACTGCAGAAATAAAAATGGATGAGAGCCAGGTGCTAGTAGTTCATGCCTGTATTCCTAGCTACAAAAGAGGCTGAGATCTAAGGATCTCGATTCAAAGCCAGCCTGGGCAGACAAATTCCCTTGTATCTTCGATTAATCAATAAAAAAGCCACAAGTAGAGGTGTATGGCTCAATTGGTAGAGTGCTAGCCTTAAGCACAAAAGCTCAGGAACTGTACCCTGGCCCTGATTTCAAACTCCAATATTAACACACACAAAAAAAAAACTGTATATGCCTCAACCAAGGACTAGATAAACAAACTATGGTTAAGTCCATACAATTAAGTTATATTGATCAATAAAAATAAAAAACATAGCAGGACATGAAGGAAAACACAGGTATTGCCGGGCGCTGGTGGCTCACGCCTGTAATCCTAGCTACTCAGGAGGCTGAGATCTGAGGATCGCGGTTCAAAGCCAGCCCGGGCAGGAGAGACCATGAGACTCCTATCTCCAATAAACCACCAGGAAACCGGAAGTGGCGCTGTAGCTCAAGTGGTAGAGCGCTCGCCTTGAGCTGAAGAGCTGAGGGACAGCGCCTAGGCCCAGAGTTCAAGCCCCACGACAGACAAAAAAAAAAAAAAAGAAAACACAGGTACCCCAGCACTCTGAGGCTGAGGCAGAATAACTGAGAGTTTGCATCTAGCCAGGGAGACATGGAGCAAGTTCATGATAGCCTGAGCTACATAGTAAGATCCTGTCTCAAAAAAAAAAAAAAAAGAAAAGGAATAAATCATTGATAAAGTGGATGAATCTTAAATACATTATGCTAAGTGAAAGAAGGCAGACAGGTCATTCATGAAAAGGGAACTCTACAGAGGTGAAAAACAGACCTGTGGTTGCCAGGGTCAAAAGGTAGGAAAGGGCTGACAGGTACAAAAGGAATTTGGGATGAATGATGAAACTGCTCTAAATCTTGATTGCGGTGGTAGTTATATGACTATCCAGCATATGGATGGCAAAACTTGAAATAACTAATAAAGGTGATTCTTTCCCAGGAGCCTCTAATCCTAGCTACTCAAGAGGCTAAGATTTGAGGATCAGTTCCAAACCAAACCAGCCCAGGCAGGAAAGTTCATGAGACTCTTATCTTTAATTAAACACCAAAAACTGGGAGTGGCACTGTCGCTCAAAGTGTAGTAGAGTGCTAGCCTTGAGCAGAAAAAGCCCAGGGACATCACCTAGGCCCTGAGTTTAAGCCCCAAAACTGATACACACACAAAAAAGATAAGTCACACTATATGTAAATTGTACTTTAACCCTGGGGGTGAGGGAAAAAAGCAGCAGGTAATAATAAAGTGAGTTAAAGTGCGTTCTAGAAATAGGTTTCATTTAACCTATCACAAATAAAATAGGCTCCCTATAATCTACTACAGAATGCAAAGTCATTCATTTCTATCATAATAGCTTTCTATTTATATTAAAGAACATGACGTTACAATATAAAGCCAATATTCATGTCTAAAACTGGTCTAATTAGGTAGGCACTGGTGGCTCAATCCTGTAGTCCTAGCTACTCAGGAGGCTGAGATCTGATGATCTCAGTTCCAATTCAGAATAGGCAGAAAAGACTCTTATCTTCAATTAACCACTCAAAAAAACGGAAGAGGTGCTGTAGCTCGAAGTGGTAGAATACTAGCCTTGAGCCAAAGAGGTCAGGGACAGGACTCAGGCCCTGAGTTCAAGCTACATGACTGACCAACAAAGTAATTAATTAATTAAAAATGGATCTAGTTAAGTTTAACTGCAAACTAAATGCAGTGGTCCTGGCTCTTAAATATGACCTTTCCTCTTCATTTCATCGTCCTATGGTAGCACTAACCATCTCTTCTCCACACTTTTTAAACTGCCTCCTAAGAATTCTTGGCCTCTGGCTCTCCTTCAACTAACTCAAAGTAATACCAGTCTGATCTATCAAACATATAAAAATATATAGGTGTGGGGCTGGGAAGGTGGCTCAGTGGTAGAGCGCTTGCCTTGCATGCATGAGGCCCTCGGTCCGATTCCTCAGCACCACATAAGCAAAAAGAAAAAAGCCGGAAGTGGTGCTGTGGCTCAAGTGGTAGAGTGCTAGCCTTGAGCTGAAAAGCTGAGGGACAGCACCCAGGCCCAGAGTTCAGGCCCCATGACCGGACCCAAAAAAAAAAAAAAAAAAAAATATATATATATATGTATATATATATAGGTGTTCCATCACTAAACCTATCAAAAGTATCAGTAATAGATCTGTTTGTTTTCAGTCATTAATATACCACCTTTCCCAAAGTATCAATCTTGGATAATGTGAACAATTCTTTTACCTAACTATGTAGTCTCTTAAAAATCAAAGAACTATGAGAAATTCACACTTAAGATAGATTCTCTTGAGCTGGGAAGGTGGCTCAGTGGTAGAGTGCTTGCCTTGCATGCATGAGGCCCTGGGGAGGCCCTAGGTTCTATTCCTCAGCACCACAAAAGCAGAAAAAGCCGGAAGTGGTGCTGTGGCTCAAGTGGTAGAGTGCTAGCCCTGAGCTGAAGAGCTGAGGGACAGCACCCACTCAGGCCCAGAGTTCGGGCCCCATGACCAACAACAACAAAAAGATTCTCTTGCCTGCTACTCAGAATTTTTTCCTCTAAGAAAATGAGATAGCTATACCAATCATGCTGATTGTGGTGGCTCTTTATAATTTGGTGTTTACTAGAGGTTTTGAACTCCATATATGAACTGGATGGAATTCTAGAGTCAGTACAGAATCAATAAAAATTAGACAAGAAAATACAAGTCATGATCTTTTGATTTAATTAGAAACATTTGCTAATTTAAGAGAATTCCTAGGGGTAAAAGATGTCATAGTCTTAAGCCTCAAGAAATCAAAACTAGGATAAGGTTCAAGAAGTACAATGTGCTGTGAATAAAGAGAAATGATTTTTAAGATAGATCTTAATTTTTACAACAGAAATTATACTCTGTGCAGATATTCTGAAACAGAAGAAGAGACACAGAACTTGTAGGAGATTAAGAACATAATAAATTATGTAAAAGCAGTGACATGTCCTCTGTAGATGATGCGAATAAACTACTAAATTATTAAAATAAATTATTACCAAGAAAAGAGAGAGGCTGGGAATGTGGCTTAGTGGTAGAGTGCTTGCCTATCATGCATGAAGCCCTGGGTTTAATTCCACAGTACCACACAAACAGAAAAGGCTGCTAGCCTTAAGCAAAAGCAGCTAAGGGACAGCGCCCAGGCCCTAAGTTCAAGCCCCAGCCTGACAAAATGAAAAAGCAAAAGAAAAGAGAGGGGAAGAGGGAGAGAGAGAGGGAGAGACAGTATTAAAAGCTAAGGCACGTTTTAAAAGCATAGGGAGGAAAATACATACATAAAGACAAAGGCATCTAATTTCATTCTCATCTGCCTGCCTAACCTCCACTGAGACACTAGACTGCCAGGCACTCCAGAAAAGGAAAAAAAAAAAAAAGGCAAAGGTGGTTGGATACAAAAACTCAGTATAAAGGGGAATAATTAAACAAGGAGAAAGTAGATTCTTCAGGGGAAGATCTGACGATGTTTGCTGAGAGCGGAAAAGGACCCAATGAAAGGAGAAAAGACAGGATAACTCAAAACAAAAAGTGTAATACATTTGGAATGGAGTGTCAATGGGAATAAAAGCCTAGGAAAAGGAAAATTGGATCTTAGAGAGGAAAGGAGACTTTTTTCCCTCTGGGAAGGAGGAAGCTTCTCACATGGGGGACCCAGGACCTGGAGGGCTGGGCAGAAGGCACCCAGAGCCCTGAAGGGCACAGACATGCAGACAGGCACAAAGATGAGGGCTTGTCTGCAAAGATCCGCGCACTGCATGCATGCACTCGGTGGCTTTCTCTACACCGCCTAGAGCCAGGAGGCGGCCAGCGCGGGGGACACCTGCCCCAACTCCGGGGCGGCCCCTCTCTGGACTAGGCCTGAACAAAACCTTCCTGCTGTGGACAGGTGACGCCTGAGGCCAGCTTTAAAGCCCTGGGATCACGGCAAGGTGATGGGATTCTCATCCTGGAAGTTAAGACAATTAAAACGAGGGAATTTATTTTTTAACATAGAAAGCATCCTCAACTGTGGAACGTTAGAAAGACGGAGCGGCAGAACGCAGAGTGTCACGTACCTGGCGGCCTCTGGGAAGCCCATCCTGTAGAGGGTGACGACCACGGCGCCGCCGAGACCCAGGTTGTGCTGCAGGGCCACCTTCGCCCCCGGAACTTGCCTTCTTCCGGCCTCGCCGCGCAGCTGCCAGCAGAGCTCGGCGCACTGGGCCAGGCCTGGCGAATCGAGCACAGAGCGGGCAGAGGGCTGGTCTTAAGAGAGCCGCCAGCCTCCACCAGCTTTCCCAAGCCAGACGCAGGCTAGCGGCTAATCGTGACTTTAATCAAAGCACCAGAAGTCGAGCCCAAGTTCGCCTCAATCGCTTCTCTGACAGAAAGGGTTTTGCCACTGCTAATCCACCCTCTCTAGTCCCTTCCTTAGTCTCTGTATTTGGGCAGTATACCAGGCTTACAAACTGTCTGAACTCAGGGCTGGGAAGATGGCTCAGTGGCAGAGCGCTTGCCTTGCATCCATAAGGCCCTGGGTTCAATTCCTCAGCACCACATAAGCAGAAAATAAACAAACTAAGTTCACAAGTTGTCTGAACTCTTTTTAACCTGTCATTTGGGAGCATGCTGAAAATGAAAAAACACTGTATATTATTCACCAGCCTAGGAAAAATGTCATAAAAATAATCTTGCCATCTTCAAGGTATACACTGGAAATCTAGGATTTGAGAGTTCACTTTTTCTAAAGCATCTAGCTGTTAAGGGGAAATTTTCTATTATTGTCCTCCAAGCAGTTCCTAATATTAAGTAGTTTTCCAGATCTATTCAAAAGAAAAGGTGTTCATTCACAAGAATAACTATCTGTCCCTTGGATAATAAAATGAAACATTAACTGGAGGAAGCTAATGATGTAATTATTCAGAAATATAAAAGTTAAACTGTGGACAGTCAGCCCTAATTCCAGACATGAGATTATTGAAATGCACTGTAACTATAAGACAATAAAAAAAAATACTTCAGCTAAACAAGCATTTAAAGCACCAGCTGCCAAGTTCAGAAAATACAAATTATATTCAAATCGTGGACCAAACCATACTTATGACAAAAATAAACAATGCTTACAAAGTGTGTGTGTGTTATTACCTGTAGCTCCCAATGGGTGTCCCTTTGAAATCAATCCACCACTAGGATTGATGACCCACTTCCCTCCATAAGTATTATCTCCTCTTTCAACCAGTGTTGCACCTTGCCCTGCAGAAGGAAATACAATATTCACAAATGTTAGAAATAAATCAGAACAAAGGGCAAGCTTTTTTTTTTGGGAGGGGGCAGTCAGTTGTGGAGCTTAAACTCAGGGTCTAGGTGTTAGTTAATTGGAGATAAGAGACTCAAGGACTTCCTACTCAGGCTGGCTTCAAACCATAATTCTCAGACTTCAGCCTCCTAAGTAGCTAGGACTACAGGTGTGAGTCACAAGTGCCCAGCAGGCAAGCATATTTTAACAGCTCACCAACAAGTATAAAATATTGAACAAAATAATGGCTTGGGGCTGGGAAGGTAGCTCAGTGGTAGAGCGCTTGCCTTGCATGCATGAGGCCCTGGGTTCGATTCCTCAGCACCACATAAGCAAAAAGAAAAAAAGCCAGAAGTGGTGCTGTGGCTCAAGTGGTAGAGCATTAGCCTTGAGCTGAAGAGCTGAGGGACAGTTCCCAGGCCCAGAGTTCAGGCCCCATGACCGGACCCAAAATAATGACTTATCTTTATATAACATGTCCTGCCTGAAACAAAGCTCTAATTAATTCCTAAGAGTTCTCTGTCTTCCAAAATTGCTCCATATGTAATAGATTCGAAAAGCCAGAAGAAAGGAACTAAATGGATATAATACTACATAACTAAAATAATTATAGCAACTTTAAAATTCATACTTTTAACAATTATGTTTGAATTGTATTGCCATATACTAATATATCTAATAGATATTATAATACATGCATTATATATGTATACATCTATTACCTGTGTGTGTGAGTGTGTGTGCACACGTGCTGCCCTGGGGCTTAAACTCAGGGCCTGAGCACTGTCACTGAGCTATTTTTGCTCAAGGATGGCACTCTACTACAACTCTACTTCTATCTTTTTGGTGGTAAATTAAAGATAAGAGTCTCACAGACTTTCCTGCCCAGGCCACTTTGAATAGCAATCCTCAGATCTTAGCCTCCTAAGTCTCTAGAATTACGAGCATGAGCCACTGGCACCTCTATATACTATATATTTTTAATAAACAAGGAAACACAAGAAAAATAATATTTTCATAAAATTAAGAGAAATGGCTAAAGATATTGTTGTGCCACAGAAACAAGGGAATGGAGGAAGTGGTACTGTGGCTCAAATGGTAGAGCATTTGCCTTGAGCTGAAGAGCACAGGGATAGCGCCCAAGCCCAGAGTTCAAGACCCACGACCAACAACAATAACCAAAAAAAGGAATGGAAAAAGTATTCACATGCATTGTGCTTCAACATTTCGATCAGTCTTAGTCACTGCCGGGCACAGGTGGCTCACGCCTGTAATCCTAGCTACTCAGGAGGCTAAGATCTGAGGACCCAGTTCAAAGCCAGCCTGGGCAGGAAAGTCCAAGAGACTCTAATCTCCAGTAAACCACCAGAAACTGAAAGTAGCACTGTGGCTCAAGTGGTAGAGCACGTAAGAAAAAAGCCAGTGGCGCTGTGGCTCAAGTGGTAGAGTGCTAGCCTTGAGCTGAAGAGCTGAGGGACAGTGCCCAGGCCGAGTTCAGGCCCCATGACCAGACCCAAAAAAAAAGAGATGGTAGAGAAATAAGGCAGATCTAGAGGACCAGCTGTGAGAGTACAACCATTGAAGCAAGAATTCTGATAAATGACTAAAGTGGCAAGATCACAGGCTAGATTTATTTCAAAGGTTAAATCCATATCTGACAGGAATTATAGGTGGGCTCAGTTGGGGCTGTGAAAGAGAAGGCTTAATTAATGAATTAATTTTGGCAGTATTGGTGTTTGAGTTCAGAGCCTTAAACTTGATAGGGAAAGAGACTTATGAGTAAATCTAGTTTGACCAATTAGAAGATAGAGAAGATCTGTGAGAGGAAGAAATATGAAAAATATTGAGAGTCAATTCTGAATCTGGTTTGAGATGATTATGAGGGCTGGGAATGTGGCTTAGTGGTAAGTGTGCTTGCCTAGCATGCATGAAGCTCTGGGTTCAATTCCTCAGTACCACATAAACAGATAAAGCTGGAAGTGGTGCTGTGGCTCAAGTGGTAGAGCACTAGCCTTCAGCAAAAGAAGCTCAGGAACAGTGCCCAGGTCCAAAGTTCAAGTCCCACAATTGACAAGAAAAACATGCATCAGAACTACAGGTAGGTAGTTCTTTTCAAACCACACTAGAAATGACACAAAATGTGTGTTCTCAGCAGAGCAAAAGAAACTAGAGGGACTAGGAAGGTGGTAGAGCGCTTGCCTTGCATGCATGAGGTCCTGGGTTCGATTCCTCAGCACCACATAAGCAAAAAGGAAAAAAAAGCCAGAAATGGTGCTGTGGCTCAAGTGGTAGAGCGCTAGCCTTGAGCTGAAGAGCTGAGGGACAGTTCCCAGGCCCAGAGTTCAGGCCCCACGACCGGACCCAAAAAAAAAAAAAGAAAAAGAAAGAAACTAGAAAATGAAGCAAATGGAAATTTTAGAACTAAAACTGAAGTATTGGAAATAAAAAAAATCTCACTACAAGGGCTGGAGGGATGGCTCAAGGAGTATAGTGCCTGCATAGCAGGCAGTACCACAGAAAAAGAAAAAAGAAAACCCTTACTAGGTTCAAGAGCAGAGTGAGGATAAATAAGAATCAATCAATTGAAAGATACATCAAAATCAAAGTTGGGTGTTGGTGGCTCACATTTATAATCCTAACTACTCAGAAGGGTAAAGTCTGAGGATCACAGCCCAGACAGAAAAGTCTATGAGATTTCTCCAATTAACTAGCAAAAAGCCAGAAGTGGAGGTGTGGCTTAAGTGGTAGAATGCCAACCTTAAGGAGGGGGCAGGGAGCAAGTCCAGAGTTCAAGCTCCAGTACTGGCATAAAAATAAATAAATAAATAAATATAAAGATACAACCATGTAAATTATCTAATCATTTAATCAAATAAAGAGAAAAGGAAAAAATTAAAAATAAATAGAAAAGCTGTACATTGCCTTGGGTTTGATCTCTACTACTATTACTACTACTACACTCACACACAGTTTCAGGTACCTATGGGATAATATCAACCAAATATCTGCATCATTGTCATCTCATAAAGTAAGAAAAAAGAGATTGGCACAGAGTAATTAGAAACTCACCACCACAGCATGTTTGTAATCCCAACACTCAGAAGACTAAGACAAGACAATTCAAAGTTCCAGTCAGCCTAGGTTATGTATTGAAACCCTGCCTCAAAAAGGAGAAAGGAAGGGAGGTAGTAAGAGAGGAAAGAAGTAGGAACAAAACGGGGAACAATTTCAGTGACCATAGACTCCTCCTTAGAATCAGAGATCAGAAGACTCAACATGTTTTCCATGCTGAAAGAAAATACCTTGTCATCCCAAAATTCAAGGTCCAACAAAGGTTACCTTTAGAAATTTAGCTTAGGTAAAGATAGTGTCGTAAGAAAATGAAAGGATCCATCTCCAAGAGATCTTCCCTATAAGACATACTAAAAGAAGGCCTTCAAACTAAAGGAAATGATTAAGAGGAAAAACTAGAGTCTTTGAGAATGAAGAAAGAACAACAGAAATTATAAATACTTAGATGAATAGAAGACTTTTTATCTTAATATCTTTAAAATATTTATGACAAATTAAAAGCAGAAATTCTATCATTATGTGTTCTGTTTTTCAGTATCACTAAATGCATATGATAACTATAACATATATGATGATATGAAGTGGTACAGTCTAAAAGGAGACCATGAAAGGTGAGTTCACATATAATAACTCATGCAGCAGAACTTAACTGGAAGAAATTTTGCCCTAAAGAGACCTTTGGCAATGTGTAGAGCCACTTGGTTATCACACCTACCTGTTGGTGGAGGTGTTGCTGACATTTTGTGGTAAAAGAGCAAGAATGCTGTTGAATATCTTACAATTTACAAGCCTCACCACAAGAAAAATGAGCACAAATATAAACAACACCAAGGTTAAGAAACCTGGTCCTACAGCAACCACCAGAAAAGAAAGAGACAGAGCCAAAAACACGACATGTTTACATAAATATTCAAATAATGTAAAAGAAGACAGGAGAAGAAGAACGGAGGAACAAAGGCATCAAAACAGGTAATAAAACTTACTACCATCAATAAATCAAGAGACTATCTTCACAGACTATATTTACATTTACAATGCACATGTACCAGAGAAATAAACTGTATGAGAATACTCTTACAACACAATGAAGACAACTAAAAAACAGTGTGGGAACCCTAGAGCCCTGTGGGGATTATGACTCGGCGTAGGAAGTATGATTGCATGGAGAATGCCTGATGCCAGCAGAAAAATCTGGTTATCTGATTGCTCATCCTAGGTCTGAATAAAGACAGGATTCTGAGTGTTTGACCTTCTGAAGTAATCTTATTAAACTTGAGAGTGTTCTATGAACTGATCTTACTGTTCTTCCTGATATCCTTCTATGTGCCCGTGGCAATGTGCCCTTTAGTCTGATACTTAAATTGCCTCAAGCAAGCCTCTAGGAGATCTGATCCTAGACTGTTCAATCAAGTCTGTTAGTAAAACTCAACCCTAGCCCCACCTGTGGTGGTATTATTGAGTATTAAAATATTGTGGAGTATTAAAATATTGAGAATGTGGCTCAGGGTAGAGTGATTGCCGAGCATGCAGGAAGCCCTGGTTTCAATTCCTCAGTACTACATACATAGGAAAAGCCAGAAGTGGTGCTGTGGCTCAAATGGTAGAGCACTAACCTTGAGCAAAAGAAGCTCTGGAAAAAAAATATATATCATTGCATGGGCAATCTTTCATCTGTCATCGTGACATCTGCTGGACAGAGCCATAAAACAATAGCACAAAAATCTAAACAGAGTTGGGTGCCAGTGGCTCACGCCTGGGATCCTAGCTATTCAGGAGGCTGAGATCTGAGGATTGTAGTTTAAAGCCAGCCCAGGCAGGAAAGTCAGTGAGACGCTTATCTCCAATTAATCATAGAAAAAAAAAACTGGAAATGCCACTATGGCTCAAGTGGTAGAGCACTAACCTTGAGCAAAAAGGGAGCTCAGAAACAGCACCCAAGCCCAGAGTTTGAGCCTTGGGACCAGCAAAAAAAAAAAAAAAAAAAAGATACGCCAGTAACTCACACCTGTAATACTAGCTACTCAGGAATCTGAGATCTGAGAATCATGGTTCAGGACAGCCTGATCTCCAATTAACCAGCAAAAAGCTAGAAGTGGAACACAAAATGGTAAAGCATAGCTGAGAGCAGAAAAAAAAAGTAAGAACATTTTTAGGAGAACTCAAGGATAGTTATTCAAATCCCAAGACAGACAGCAGAAAGACACACACACACACATACACACACACACACACACACACATACACACACACACACACACACACACACACACACACACACCTATAAATGACCAATAAGCATGGGGAAAGATGCTCAGTATGGCTAATCAGAAACATGGAAATTTAAACTAAAATAAAATACAGTTGTGTGCTGGTGGATCACACCTGTTGTCCTACTTATTCAGCTCAGGCAGGAAAGTTTGTGAGAGCCTGATCTCCAATTAATTACCAAAAAAGCCTGAATAGTGCTTGCTATGGTTCAAGTGGTAGAGCCTTGAGCACAAAAGCAAAAGACTGGTACCAAGGCCCTGATTTCAAGCCCAAGGGATCACACACACACACACACACACACACACACACATACAATCATAATGTTTTAGCATGGCTGAAAAGCTTTAAAAACCAATCATTCAAAGTGTTGGCAATTCAAAGTGTTGGCAATGAAGTAAAGCACTAAAAGTCTCATACACTAAAGGAAAATGGTATACTTAAGAAATGAAAAAGAAATCTTTCTAATCTGATCAACTATTTTTCATTCTCATTTCTGTAAGTCTCTAAGCATACTTCAAATAGTTGGAATTATATATGTAATATTATATGCTTTCAAGAATTCATGTTATAAGTGCTCTGACACATATAATGTAAATTATGTGAATACCTTGTTATCAGGGTTGACATGGTCCAAAGACCATTATTCTAAAAACTAGTAACAAAACCACTTGCATTCACTTTGCACAGTGTGGAACAGCCTGACATGGAGGGAAAGGCAATTAGTGAATTCTTTTATTTGATAATGAAAGTGAGCCTTTCATAGTGAAATCTACCCAATGAATCTTCCCTCTTCAAATACATTACCTTCTGGACAGAGTCCCAATGCTTCATAAGTAAGGAGTTCATTGATAGAAAAGCAGTCATGAAGTTCTATTACATCAACATCATTTGGTCTAAGGCCAGATTTCTCATAGCATTTTCTAGCAGCTTCTTTACTCATATCATAGCCAACCTAAAACCAAAATCACATTTAAGTAAATTTAGGGTACCAAAACTGGACCTTTTAGACAGGATTTTATATATATATATATATATATATATACATGTACATGTATATGTACATATATATGACATAAAGGAATATGAGTTGAATCCGTATTATGTAGGAAGTCTAAATAAAGTAATACCCAGGAAGAAGATACATACACATACACACATTCTATACACTCATAATATATATGCAAATTTTGAACTATAAATAACAGAAGTTCTAATCAAGATATATAGGGGGATTACAATTCCTCGCATTTTATTTTATGCTACATTATGAAAACTATCAAATCCCAACATATTCTGTATTAAATTGGTTGAAGAGGGGCTAGGAAGGTGGCTCAGTGGTAGAGCGCTTGCCTTGCATGTATGAGGCCCTGGGTTCGAGTCCTCAGCACCACATAAGCAGAAAAAAAAAGCTGGAAGTGGTGCTATGGCTCAAGTCGTAGTGCGCTAGCCTTGAGCTGAAGAGCTAAGGGACAGTGCCCAGGCCCGGAGTTCAGGCCCCAGGACTAGACCCAAAAATGAATAAATAAATAAAAATAAAATAAAATAAATTGGTTGAAGAGATTTGCCATACATCATTATGAGTCAGATACACTGAAAGAGAAGGAACATTTCTATATGAAAGCACATATCTTTTTTTTTTTTTTAATCGGTCATGGGGCTTGAACTCTGGGCTTGGGCGCTGTCCCTGCGCTCTTCAGCTCAAGGTGAGCGCTCTACCACTTGAGCCACACAGCGCCACTTCCGGCTTTTTTCTTTTTGCTTATGTGGTGCTCAGGAATCGAACCCAGGGCCTTGAGCATGCAAGGCAAGCGCTCTACCACTGAGCCGCCTTCCCAGCTCTCAAAGAGATTCTTATTTCCAGCTAATCAGTAGAAACTCAGAAGTGGATATGTGGCTCAAGTTGTACAGCTCTAGCTATGAGCAGAACAGTTTGCTAGAGAATGAGAGGCCTTGAATTCAAGCAAAAACCAAATCTAAACTGTTAATCCATCTTTGGTTTTATATAATAGTATGCAAACTCAACTTCCCATCAAGAAATAAATTGAAAATAATAGAAAATGTGCTATCAAGAAAAAGCTAAGGGGCTAGGAATGTGGCTTAGTGGTAGAGTGCTTGCCTAGCAAGCATGAGGCCCTGGGTTCAATTCCTCAGTACCCCATAAACAGAAAAAGCCACAAGCAGCATTGTGGCTTAAGTGCTAGCCTTGAACAAAAGAAGCTGAGGGACAGTGCCCAGGTCCTTAGTTCAAGCCTCAGGACTAGAGAAAGAAAGAAAGAAAGAAAGAAAGAAAGAAAGAAAGAAAGAAAGAAAGAAAGAAAGAAAGAAAGAAAGAGAAGGAAGGAAGGAAGGAAGGAAGGAAGGAAGGAAGGAAGGAAGGAAGGAAGGAAGGAAGGAAAGGAAGGAAGGAAGGAAGGAAGGAATGAGAAAGAAAAGAAAGAGAGAAAGAGAAAGAGAGAAAGGAAAAAAGGAAGGAAGGAAGGAAGGAAGGAAGGAAGGAAGGAGAAAGAAAAGAGAGAGAAAGAGAAAGAGAGAAAGGAAAAAAGGAAGGAAGGAAGGAAGGAAGGAAAGAAGGAAGAAGAAAAGAAAAGAAGAGAATAGAAAAGAAAAGAGAAAAAACTAAGAAGCAAGGGCACTGGTGGCTCATGCCTATAATCCTAGATAATGAGGAGGCTGAGATCTGAGGCTCACAGTTCAAAGTCAGCCTGGGCAGCAAAATCCTTGGGACTCCACTAACCTACAAAAAAAAAGCCAGAAGTGGTGCTGTGGCTCAAGTGGTAGAGTGTTAACCAGAGTTCAAACCCTAGGAACAAAATAAATAAATAAATAAATAGATGGATAAATAAATAAATAAATAAAATAAGAAATATAACTATAGCCGAGCACCAGTGGCTCACGCCTATAATCCTAGCTACTCAGAAGGCTGAGATCTGAGAATCGTGGTTCAAAGCCAGCCCAGGCAGGAAAGTCTGTGAGACTCTTATCTACAATAAACCACTAGAAAACCGGAAGTGGCTCTGTGGCTCAAGCGGTAGAGCACTCATCTTGAGCTGAAGAGTACAGGGACAGCACTCAAGCCCAGAGTTCAAGCCACACGACCAAAAAAAAAAAAGAAATATAAACATAATATCACCACTGAAGCGTGGCACTGGTGGCTCACACCTGTAATCCTAGCAACTCAAGAGGCTGAGATCTGAGGATCACCATTCAAAAATCACCAGGCAAAAAAGCCTTAAGACTCCTATCTCCAATTAGCTACCAGAAAACTAGAAGTGGAGTTGTGGCTCAAAGAGGTAAAGCCATAGCCTTGAGCAAAATAGTTCTGTGACTGCACCCAGGTCCTGCATTCAAGCCCAACAACCAATAAAATAATAGTAGTAAGAGTAGTAAGAGTAATAATAATAATAATACCACCTCTGCTATAATTTTGTTAATTTTGATAGTTTCTCAACACTGTGACAAAATACCAGTGGAAAACAAATTAAAGTTATGAAAATGGTTAATCCCAGGCTGAGGTGTAATCCTATGTATAACCCCAGACTATGGTGAAATCAGGCTGAGGCAGGGAAATTTCAGTTCAGCCTGAGCTATATAGTGAGACAATGTCTCAATTAAAATCAGAAAACTAGAAATGGTTTATTTTGGTAGGTAGTTTCAGAGGTTTCAATTGGAACCATAACTTTGAGCCTATAGAAAGACAGAACATCTTGACAGGAAGCACATGGAACAGCAACACTACTCATTGAAGACAAGAAAGCAGACAGAGAGCTCACTCACTTTTTTTTTTTTTTTGGGTCCAGTCATGGGGCCTGAACTCTAGGCCTGGGCGCTGTCCCTCAGCTCTTCAGCTCAAGGCTAGCGCTCTACCACTTGAGCCACAGCGCCACTTCCGGTTTTTTTCTTTTTGCTTATGTGGTGCTGAGGAATCGAACCCAGGGCCTCATGCATGCAAGGCAAGTGCTCTACCACTGAGCACCTTCCCAGCCCCTCACTCACTTTTATGACAAAGACCCATCCTCAAAACCCATTCAGCTATGCACTCATTGTCAGATAAATGTATTGATAAGTCAGTGTCCTCATAAGCCAATAACTCCTGAACATTGCTGCACTGGGATCAAGTCTTCAATATGTAAGCATCAGGGAAGCATTTCAGTACAAATCACAGCACTGGTCTGGGTCTGAATTCTCTTTTCTCTTTCTTTAATTTTCTCAATTTTTTTTAAGACCTATAAAATCTTTGTATAAAATCAGGATGTTTGTTCTGAGGGTTAAGAAACTTCTCTAATGGGGGCTGGGAAGGTGACTCAGTGGTAGAGTGCTTGCCTTGCATTCATGAGGCCCTGGGTTCGATTCCTCAGCACCACATAAGCAGAAAAAAAAAAAAAAGCCAGAAGTGGCGCTGTGGCTCAAGTGGTAGAGTGCTAGCCTTGAGCTGAAGAGCTGAGGGACAGCACCCAGGCCCAGAGTTCAGGCCCCATGACCGGACCCAATAAATAAATAAATAAACAAACAAACAAACAAGGACTGGGGATGTGGCTTAGTGGTAGAGTACTTGCCTAGCATGCAAGAAACCCTGGGTTCTATTCCTCAGTCCCATATACATAGAAAAAGCCGGAAGTGGCACTGTGGCTCAAATGCTCAAGTGGCATTCAGGGACATTGCCAAGGCCTTGAGTTCAAGCCCCAGGACTAGCAAAAATCAATAAATAGATAAATAAATAGCCAGCATGACTAGACAGGTAAACCATAAGAAGTATCTCTTTGTCAGTTTTCCCATATCAGATACTTAAGGACAGATTACAATACTAAAATTTCTAGACCAATGTTTTTCAAGTAAATAACTTCCAGAGTTGTTGATAAACAATGTATGTCATCTTAATATTTTAAATAGCATTTCTACCAGGTGCCAGTGGCTCACGCCTATAATCCTAGTTACTCAGGAGGCTGAGATCCAAGGATGGAGGCTCAAAGTCAGACCAGACAGGAAAGTCCATGAGACTCTTATTTCTAATTAACCCCAAAAAGCTGGAAGTGAAGCTGTGGCTCAAGTGATAGAGCATTAGCCTTGAACACAAAAGCTCAGGGACAGCACCCAGGCTCTCAGTTCAAGCCCCAGTTCTGGAACTAACTAATTTAATTAATTAAACATCATTTCCTCAATTTGATTAATAAAATAATCTCAGACATACCGTTTTAATAACGCTTTTCTCTTCAAATGAGCTTGGCAAATCAGTCATCATCTCTTGTGCCACAATTTCTACAGCTTTGGATTGCAGTCCATACTTGTGTACAAATTCTTCACTAGCCAAAACTGCTGCAGCAGCACCATCTGAAGTGGGACTAAGAGGAAGCAAAACAATGACTTACCCCTGACCCATCTCAACCCTACGATTCCAGAATGGAAGGCAGAAGGAGGCCCAATTATACTTGCTGGTTGGTGCACTGTTTTCTTGTGATACCTATGGTAAGAAACCACATAGGCTTCCCACTAAAAACTGGACCTCTAGCAAGACTTCAAATGTTGTCCATCACTTCTTGATTTCTAGTCTCTCCCAAAAACTTCTCATCACACAAAATCTGGATTTGCCCTTGCAGGTGCATAATGCAATTTCTGATATCTTTCTGAAATAACCAAAAGGTTATTTCATATCCTACTACTATAAAAATTCAACTATAGACCTAAATAGCTCCAACTCTGCTTAGCTCAGACAGCTCACTCCTGAAACCCTTTTGGAAACTGAGGAAATATACAAGAGGGATACCAGAAAGTCCAAAAGCAAGACTCCTGAGATCTCCTCAAAGCAGACCTTTTCAAACTTAGAGCATCTACTGGTTGTAATCTAGGTTCCCTGGGAAGCTAGACTACAAATGACAGAAGCCCTCTGTGAGTTCAGCAAGACTCTCTAGAGGGGAAAATCCTCTGAATGCAACCTGACTTGTTTACCTGAATCCCAAGCCAGTATCTGAAGGGTTCTGCCAAGGATATATTATGACTTATGGAGGCACTACACAGAACTCACTGTCAGGTAATTTGCATTATGCTTTTTTTTCCTTGTTTTATTTTTATTCTTGACTATTTTAATAGCAGAAAGTTTCCTATATTAGAAGCCTATTTAGGGAAAAACAAAATGCTCAAGGAAAAACCTTTTGATTCCTCTGGTCTCAAGGTATATTTTAAATGAATATGTATGATTAAAACAAAGCAAGTAGAAATTACAAGAGAAGAAAGAAGTAAAACATATTTTTCAAGATAGCAGATAGTCTGTCTCAGGATAGGAGTAAGAAAAGGATATTCTCATGAAATAACCTGGAGTGAGGATCACATTGGTAGTACTTTTGTAAAAGCTACATTTAGATAACACAGTCTGAAGTTTAACCACAGAGGGATGGGCAGGGAGAGGGAAGGAAGGAGTTATATCTATCTAGTAAATGTCAAAATATGTTTTCTTACCAACATTGTAAGATAGTCAAAAAATCAAAAACTCTTCGAGATTTCATTATTTCATCTAAACTGTATTCAACTTTGAACTGGGAATACCTAGATACAAAATAAATAGTTACAAAATGTGCAGTAGTAATTGTAATTTTTGTTGAAGATGTCTTGGTCCAGAGATAGAATAATAATGTGTGAATATTCTTTTTACAACCAAAACAACAGATTTATGAATAGTTTCAACCTTGAAATGAACACCTGGATTGAATTGAAAGAGAAAATTCAAATTTTGAAATACCCTCTGCTATGTAATTTAAAAAATTAGCCAGCGCCAGTGGCTTATGCCTATAATCAAAGGCTGAAATGTGAGGATTGTGATTCAAAGCTAGCCTGAGAAGGAAAACCATTCAAACTCTTATCTCCAATTAACAACCAAAAAATGCCTGAAGAAAAACTGTGACTCAAGCTGTAGAGTGCCAGCCTTGAGCAAAAAAGCTCAGAGTGAACCCAGGCCTTGAGTTCAAGCCTCAGGACACACACACACACACACACACACACACACACACACACACACACACACACACACACACACACTCTCTCTCTCTCTCTCTCTCTCTCTCTCTCTCTCTCACACACACACACACACTCCCTCTTTTTTGTTATCTTTTTGTTTTGTTTTTCTAGGGATTGAACTTAGGGTTTCAAGTTTGCTATGCAAACATTCACCACTTGACTTTTTTATTTTTTATCTTGTTTTTGAGAAAGAGACACATCCTTATTTAATACCATCAAGCCTTAATAGTATTCTAAATATAAATAAGTCAAAAATGAACTGCAAAATAGTCAAAAGTTGACTGGGGCACAGACTCTTATAAGAAAAAAAATAACATGCAAGTTAGTATTTTTGAGATCTTACATTTTCTTTTTAACTATAAAGTTGCATATTACACAGTAGAATAAACAGATTTTCATTTCTTGTCTCAGAAATACTTACGGGTTATTAACTGAATGTTTATGATTTTTCCATCCAATATTTGCAAAGTGTTCAATTTTTGTTCCTGTAGGAAAGATAAATATCTGTTAATATTTTTCTGATGTTTATGAATAATGGTAATGATACCCAAACTTCTGCTAAATATTTTTATATACTCTCTTGCATAGATATCACATATACTATTTAATATTTTTTATTGCTTATTGTTATTATAAAGGTGATATACAGAGGCATTACAGTAATATAGTCAGGTAAAGAGTACATTTCTTTTTGGACAATGTCACACCTTCCTTCACTCCCAGTTTTTCCATTTTAGTAATTTTTATAATTAAATTTGAGGTTTTTTTAAGAATGTATTTTATTTTTAGCAAGAATTTATTTTATTACAACAAGGTTAGCATAGAGAGAAATAGGAAGAAATGAATATTTACTGTTACTCATGTAGGAAATGGAAGTTAAAAGATTCCAAATTTGCCGGTGCTGGCAACTCATGCCTATAATTCTATCTTCTTAGGAAGCTGAGATCCAGAGGATCTGCCAGCCTAGGCAGACAAGTCCAAGAGACTCCTATCTCCAGTTTATCACAGTGAAAGTGATGACAAATGGTACTGTCAGACTGAGTGAAAGTTTGCTGGTATACTGAAGACAAAGTAGAATCAGAGTCTTGATCAAATATAGAAAAATGGAGTGCTCAGTTATTGAGTGGGGAAAACATCAGAGAAACAGCCAGTTCAATGAAAGAATTAAAGGTTTTAGACATCCTATTTATGCTACATCAACTAGCCATTCAAATGAAAATCCCTTTTGTAAAGAGCTGAAGATACAAAATAAGGTTTTTGGTTTTTTATTTTTATTTATTTATTTATTTATTTTTGGTTGTGGGGCTTGAACTCTGGGCCTGGGTGCTGTCCCTCAGTTCTTTAGCTCAAGGCTAGCACTCTACCACTTGAGCCACAGCACCACTTTTAGTTTTCTGGTGGTTTATTGGAGAGTCTCCAGGACTTTCTTGCCTGGGGTACCTTTGAACCAAGATCCTCAGATCTCAGCCTCCTGAGTAGCTAGGATTACAGGTGTGAGCTACCAGCACCTGGCTTAAAATAAGGTTTTTCTTTGTTAAGTTTTGGTTTTATTCATATTGATGAATATTCACCCCAGTTAGCCCTACTTCCACAGGTTCTCCATTCGAGCCTGTTTTATTTTCCTATCCTTTTTTAGTATTAATTGTACCAGAGAGTATCACTATGGTATTTCAGGCATGTTATATTCGTCTCTGAATCACCCGACCTCCTGCTTTCTCTTTCCTTGTCCAGATCCCTACTGACTGACCACGTTCATTGAGGTTCCTTATGCCATAGTATACACGGTTGCATTGTATTTTGAAATTATTCACCCTCCATCTTTCCCTCCCTCCTCCCCTAACCCCTATTGTCCCACAGAGTGAGAGAATAATGTTTTATCTATATACATATATGTATATAAATTTATGAAATACCCAAAAAATTTTTAATATACCGTATTTTTCCATGTGCTCTTTTCCAGCACCCACAAACATTTGAGCAGTAATAGGATGGGCAGAAACTCCATACTTATTGGCCAAGACTTCAACATGTTTATATACAGGGTGGGTACAATCATTTGCTAACTAAGAGAGAAGGGAAAAACAAGTTTAATGAATACCTGGCATAGTGTCTCTTTCAACTACTACACCATTACTAACACATTCATTTATTCTACAAGCATAAATAGGAAATATTTGGCATAAAAGCATAGAAAATAGCCAGGCACCTGTGGCTCATGGCTTTAATGTTACCTACTCAGGAGGCTGAGATCTGAGGATTGCAGTTCAAAGCCAGCTCTGGCAAGAAAGTCTTTAAGACTCATCTCCAATTAACCACCAGAAAACCAGAAGTGGCACTGTGGCTTAAAGTGATAGCGCACTAGCCTTGAGTGAAAAAGCTCAGGGACAGAGCTCAGACTCTGAGTTCAAGCCCCATAACTGACACTGACAAACACAAAACAAAACAAAACAAAAAGACGGAGGAGCCAGAAGCCACACCTGTAATCCTAGCTATCCAGAATGCTGAGATCTGAGGATCACAGTTCAAAACTATCCCAGGAAGAAAAGTCTTTGAGATTCTTATCTCCAATTAATTATCCACCAAAAAGCCAGAAGTAGAACTGGTTCAAGTAGTAGAGCACCAGCCTTGACCATTAATCTAAGGGATGATACCCAGACCCCGAGTTCAAGTCTCCACTCTGGCACAAAAATTTAAAAACAGGGAGAAAGACAAATAACCAATGTTCAATCAATAATCAATAAGCAATGTTTATTCAACATCTAATGTGTGGAAATTCTAAGGTCTACCCCAGTCCATGTGGGCTTTGGCCTCCCCTCCTCTAAGGTCACATCCTGGGCCGCCCCAGGTCACATCTCTCAGCAGACCAGGGAAGGGTCTCAGGACCTGAGGTCATACCCAGATCCAGTGTGGCCACACCTCTTCTCACCTCAGGCCAAGATAAGTGCGGCCTGGGATGGGTCTGCCCTACAGCCACGTGCTCTCCTTTAAGCACAACAGGGCAGCAGTTCTGTAAATGAACTTCTCTTCCTGCCTTAATACTGGGTGGCGTTCTCTTCTTCAGCAGCTACTTTACCTTACAGAAATAACTATTCAAAGTGTAAGCCATAAAGGAGTCAAAAACTCAGCTAAGATTCAGTTCATCTGGCACCTATTTTGTAGAAAATGAGGACAAGAAACAATGGGGACGAGAATAAATTAAAATATAAGTAATCTCATAGAAGAGAACAGTTTTACTTTATTTTTTTCTTCCTTTTTATTTTCCTTCCTTCCACTTTCCTTCCTTTAAAACCTAAAGATTTGCTGGGAATGTTGTTTAGTGTAGAGTGCTTGCCTAGCATGCATGAGGCCTTGGTTGAATTCCTCAGTACCACATATACAGAAAAAGTCAGAAGTGGCACAGCCCCATCCATGAGACTCTTAATCTCCAATAAACCACCAGAAAACTGGAAGTTGTACTGTGGCTCAAGTGGTAGAGCACTCACCTTGAGCTAAAGAGCTAAGAGACAGCACTCAGGCCCAGAATTCAAGCCCCAGGACCGATTTAGAAAAAATTTTTTTTCAATGTGAAATAAGGATGGGGGAGTGGTATGGGGGTGTCTTGTTAGTATTATGCTCACCTTTGGTCCTCAGCTCCACCCACACCTGAGCTCCTCCCATTCCTGGAGTTCCTGCCATACAGCTGGCCCCTCCTTCTCTCTGCCCAGACCCTCCTGAGCTCCCATCTACCTCACTTCCTATCTCCCAGATCCTGCTGCTACCTGGATAGGAATAGGTGCTAAGTGCTCCCTCCTCTTGGGGGAAATATGGCTCTTCTAATAAGCCTTATAATAATCTTTCTCCTGTGCCTGCCTGCCTCTGCATGGTCTCCTGGGATGGATGTGTGGGATCCTTCAGGTCTAACTGGCACCATCTTGTCTTCATGGTAGAAATAGGGATGTTCCACCCCCAGGTGAATGCTGTGCCTGAATTCCTAGAGGCAGGGGCAGGGACTTGGACAATAGGTTACTGGACCTGTCAGTCCTATACTTTGAACTCTCCATATACTCGTTTCCTGTGCCCCTGCCCCCTGACCAGTTCAGGTGCTATCATGCTACGCATCCTGTCTCTCGTGTGTCATGTCTCCTGGCTCTCTTCTGGTCAACATGGCATCTCCTTCAGCTTTCCCTTAGAGAAGATCTGGTATGATGGTATTATTTTTCTACTCTTTCTTTCCTCTCCTACACTCATGGTTCAGTTTTCTAATAGTGTTAAATGTATTCAAGTGGCTACAGATCTTTGAGACAGAAGTCTACCTGCAGATGCCAGCTTTCCAATAAAGACTTCCAATTCAACCTCTCAAAATGCAGCCTCTCTGTATCTCACCATCCAAGGTACTGTACAACAAATGCACCAGAAGGTGCAGTCTTTTTGGTATGTGCAAACAAAAGTCAAGAGACAAACTCTCTCTGGTATCAGAAGTATATGAGTCTCATTGAGAAGTTCTTTTCTATGATCTTGTTATATGGAAAAATTTGATCAGCAAGATACAGAGAAACCACATTTTGAGAGGTCTAGTTGGGAGTCTTTACTACAAAGCCTGTCACTGTAAGTAGACTCATGTTCCCTGAAAAACTTGCAGCACCAAATGTAGCTAGCACAAAGCTTGTAAAGGCAAAAACCTCATGATTGAGGTGGGGAACTAAATCTAACACAAGGGTTACACATGAGCAAAGCAAACTACCTAAGGGAACAATCAGGGCAGTCAAGGGCCAGTTATCTGTTGGGTAAAAGGGAATCAAGGGCAAGTATTCTCTGGACACATCTGCAATTCAAAGAATGACCTATTTTACTTCTAGAGTTTCCAGAACTGGGTAAAAGGTCATCATTCATTAAGATGCCAAGATGGTGGTAAAGACAAGATGGCATTACTTAAACCCAGTACCCATATTTCAACACTCTAGATTCTAATACAGTCAAAATACAGGGGATATTAATTTTGTGGAGAAATAAGCATTCAATCCATGTATCAGGTTTGTATATAATCTTTTTTTTTTTTTGTCAGTCGTGGGGCCTGAACTCTGGGCCTGGGCGCTGTCCCTCAGCTCTTCAGCTCAAGGCTAGTGCTCTACCACAGCACCATTTCCAGCTTTTTCTGCTTATGTGGTGCTGAGGAATCAAACCCAGTGCCTCACACATACAAGGCAAACACTCTACCATTGAGCCACCTTCCAAGCCCCTGGCATATAATCATTTTTTAATTCTCCCCTATAAAACCTCCATGTGGCTGGGAAGGTGGCTTGGTGGTAGAATGCTTGCTTTGCATGCATGAGCCACTGGGCTCAATTCCTCAGCACACATAAGCAGAAAATTCTGGAAGTAGCGCTATAGCTCAAGTGGTAGAGCACTAGTCTTGAGCTTAAGAGCTCAGAGACAGCGTTCAGGCCCAGAGTTCAAGCCCCACGACCGATTAAAAAAAAAAAAAAAAAACAAAGAAACTTCCTTGCTCTGTATGCAGGTTTAACTTTAAGAACTGTTTATTTCTTTTTTTTTTTTTTTTTTTGTCAGCCGTGGGACTTGAACTCTAGGCCTGGGCGCTGTCCCTCAGCTCTTCAGCTCAAGGCGAGCACTCTACCACTTGAGCTACAGCGCCACTTCCGGTTTTCTGGTGGTTTTATTGGAGATAGGAGTCTCACGGTCTCTCCTGCCCGGGCTGGCTTTGAACCGCGATCCTCAGATCTCAGCCTCCTGAGTAGCTAGGATTACAGGCGTGAGCCACCAGCGCCCGGCTCAAGAACTGTTTATTTCTGCTTTGGATTTTGCTGTTAAGATCAACATGAACCTCTATCTTTTTAAAATTCTTGTACCAGTCCTGGTACTTGAACTCAGGGTCTATGCACTATCTTTGAACTTTTTTGGTCAACACTAGTGTTTTATCACTTGAGCCACAGCTCCACTTCCAGCTTTTGGGTAGTTAATTGGAGATAAGAATCTCATGAACTTTCTTGCCTGGGCTGCCTTTGAACTATGATCCTCATATCTCAGCCTCCTGAGTAGCTGCAGCAGATAAGAACCCCACCTTTTACATAATATGTCCTAATATCTATACTGTTGGTTTCAGTACAAGGCGACATTTGAGAATTCCTTCATGTGGCTCTCTGGGCAGCACAAGATCCCTAATGACACTTGTATGAAAGTGAGGAAGTCTTAATAATAGTCCTTGTAAGGAATGAGAGGCAAGCAACCAAAATGGGCTCAAGGCTTTACTGGGGACTGATCTGCCAGGCTGCTCCAAGAAGGAATGGAGGCAGCAGGTAGACAGGTGTGAATGAAATTCAAACAAAATTTGGTGGGTGGTCATGGGTCACATTACATGGGCTACAGGAATTGGTGGGGGAGGAAATCTCATGCCAAGAAGGAGTGTAATGAGACTGTTACAACTGGGGCAGGAATTTGTACATCACATCAGGGAAACAGTACAACATCAGGGAAATAGAAACATAACAGATTTTTGTAAACAGGTAGGGACACAGAGTGGGAACTTTCCAGTATCAAAAAGCTGACTCTTTGTAAGACCTGTTTAATTTTCTATATTCTATCCAAATGTCTTAGACGTGTCAAATTACTTAGCTTGCCATATTCAAAATCAGATGTCTCCCACTTCTTCAATTTGTTGAGTGGAATTAATTTGTTGAATGAATTGATTATTTTAAATAGACAAAAAACTTTTAATTCAAGCATTTGATGTTTTTGAACTCTAGTTTCATCCATGGTGGTAAAGAGTTTAAATAACTCTAAGATTCTTAACCATTCTAAAATACTGGTGTGGAAAATAAAGTTAGTGGTAGTCCATTTTCTTTGTGTGTGTGTGGAGAGCAGGGTTGTAGGGCTTTCTCTTTCGGCCCGGGCACTGTCCCTCAGCAACACTTTCGATTTTCTGGTGGTTAATTGGAAATAAGAGTCTCATGGACTTTACTGCCCAGGCTGGCTCTGGACCGCATCCTCAGATCTCAGCCTTCTGAGTAGGTAGGATTACAGGCATGAGCCACCAGCACCCGGCTTGGAGATCTACTTTCAAGACAAAACATCTGATCCTGAGTAAAAAGTTGCTACATAAATTAACACCAAGCAAGAGGCAGGGGAGATGAAGATAAGACTCTCTTCTAAAATCCAACCAACCTCAAAAGATACATGTGGGGGCTGGGAAGGCGGCTCAGTGGTAGAATGCTTGCCTTGCATCCCTGGGTTCAATTCCTGAGCACCACATAAGCAAAAAGAAAAAAGCTGGAAGTGGCACTGTGGCTCAAGTGGTAGACCGCTAGCCTTGAGCTGAAGAGCTGAGGGACAGCACCCAGGCCCAGCGTTCATACCCAGGCCCAGCGTTCAGGCCCTACGACCGGACCCCCCCCCCCAAAAAAAAAATACATGTGTTCAAATTATCCAATTGAGGGGAGGGACTTTCAAATTAGGGAATAAATTGTTTAGTATAACTTCTCTTTGTATGTTTGCCCACCAGACACCTGGTCTTGCAAGCAGGCAATTAACCACTGAAGCCTTGCTTTTGTTGTACTCTGTCTCCAAGACCATTCTTTGAGAGTTTGGGCAGGTGAGTATATTTCTTACACCAAATGGTGTTACTATACAGCTTACTAAATTACTATAGAAAATTATGTTTTATGTTGCTTATTAACAGACAATGCAAGATAGTCAGATGGCATAGTTCTCTTATCATAGTGAAGTTAGGCTACTGGGTCAAACTGGCACCATCTCCGCAATGGAGTAGATGATGGGGAATTGGGTCTAACTGGTGCCATCTTGGCTTCGTGCTGGGTGAAGATGAAGTCACACACCCAGGTGATGGGCATGCTTGAATTCTAGAGGCAGGGACAGGGACTGGGACAATAGGTTACTGGATGTGTCAATCGTGTGCCATGAACTCCCTGTGACCCTACCCCCTGCCCATGACCCTACGCAGGCTCCACCACCTTAGCCAGTTTGTGCCATGCCTCTTGTCTCCTCCAATCACCATGGCATCTCACTTTAACTCTCCATTAGAGTAGATCATGTTTGTTGAGATTGTTTTTCTGCTCTTTCTTTACTCTGCCACCCTCACAGCTCAGTATTAAATGTATTAGAGGCTGCAAGTTTTGGGGGGAACATGTGATTACATGCCGTTGCTGGCTTTCTAATAAAGACTCCCAATTCAGTCTCTCAAAATGTGGCTTCTCTGTATCTTGCGTTCCAATTCCCATATAACAATAGCAACTCCAAATTAATAAACGACTTACGTCTACTTCAATTGCTCCCTTCGTCATCTTCTCAAACCCAAGAGCCAAGACACAGTCTGCCAAACCTTAAAGGAAATGTAATTATTTTGAAATTTTTAATTTCCAGACACCCAATAAAATGCTATTGAATATTTCTATTTAAGCCTGGTGCTAGTGGCTCATGCCTGTAATCCTAGCTACTCAGGAGGCTGAGATCTGAAGATTGCAGTTTGAAGCCAGCCTGGGCAAGAAAGACCCAAGACTCTTTTTTATTTTTATTTTTTTGGGTCCGGTTGTGGGGCCTGAACTCTGGGCCTGGGCACTGTCCCTCAGCTCTTCAGCTCAAGGCTAGCGCTCTACCACTTGAGTCACAGCGCCACTTCCGGCTTTTTTCTTTTTGCTTATGTGGTACTGAGGAATCGAACCCAGGGCCTCATGCATGCAAGGCAAGCGCTCTACCACTGAGCCACCTTCCCAGCCCCCAAAAGAGTTTATATACAGTGCCCACCCTGAGTTCAAGCCCCATGGTGACAAAAAAAAAAAAAGTGTATCAATTTACACAAAATACAAAAACAGCTGGGCATCAGTAAAATCTGAAAGATAGAGGTTGAAGTCAACCCAGGCAGGAAAAGTCTATGAGACTCCATCTCGGAAGAGCTGAGGGACAGCACCCAGGTCCAGAGTTCAAGCCCCATGACTGACAAAAAAAAAAAAAGAGACTCCGTCTCCACCTAACAAACAAAATACCAGGCTTGGAGGGATGGCTCAAGAGGTAGAATGTAACATTTCAATTTATGTGTACAATGCATCCTAGTATTCTAAATTTTAAAACCTTTTTATACTGAATTCAAAGTTTAACTAAAAATTATAAAGGCTCCCAATGTTGTCAGGTGCCAGTGGCACACACCTGTACTACTGGGATCATCACTGAAAGCCAGCCCAGGAAGGAAATCTAAGACTCCAACAGGCAAAAAGCCTAAAGTAGAGTTGTGGCTCAGTGGTAGACCAGCTTTGAGCAAAAAAAGAAACAAGTGAGTGCATGAGGCCCTGAGGCCAAGCCCCAAGTAGCAGCATTAAAATAAATAAATTAATAAATAGGTTCCCCAGTCAAAATCTCTACAAAATTGTGCAAGTTTTTTTTTGTTTTGTTTTTTTTGGAGTCCGGTCGTGGGGCCTGAACTCAGGGCCTGGGCGCTGTCCCTCAGCTCTTCAGCTCGTGCTCTACCACTTGAGCCACAGCACCACTTCTGGATTTTTTCTTTGTGCTTATGTGGTGCTGAGGAATCGAACCTAGGGCCTCAGGCATGCAAGGCAAGCACTCTACCACTGAGCCACCTTCCCAGCCCCAATTTGAAGGGGGCATCTAATGATGGTGTTAAAGTTCAACTGAGAAGCAAAACATGACAAAATTGCTAACATTTTTCTATAAAAATGAAAGAAAAATAATAAGGAAGAGGAAAGGGGGATAGCATTATCAAACAGGAAGATTACAAAGTGCTAAAAAATTGGAAAGTAGAGCAATAATTAGTGGAATAGAACAGAATAGTAGGGCCTCAAAAGTCTGAGAAACAATATGCATCAAGTGCTGAGCAGACAAAAAAATGTGGTACAACTTTACAAAAGAGTATTATCTGACCATAATGCTCCAGTAAGAATGAACTGTTAAAATATTACACTAAATAAAATAAGCCACAGAAGGTCAAGTATTACATGCTAAGTCCATAGACAGAACACAGATGAGTGATGACAAGATGCCATGGGAAGAATAAAAGGTGGAGTGACTGCTAATGAGTACAGGCTTTCTTGCTGAGTGATTAAAAAAAATATTCTGCCTGGTGCCGGTGGCTTACACCTGTGATCTTAGTTACTCAGGAAGCTGAGATCTGAGGATCATGATTCAAAACCAGCCCAGGCAGGAAAGTCCTTGAGACTCTTATCTCCAATAAACCACCAGAAAACCGGAAGTGGCATTGTGGCTCAAGTGGTAGAGTGCTAACCTTGAGCTGAAGAGCTGAGGGACAGCACCCAGGCCTAGAGATAAAAAAAAAAAAAAAAAAAAAAAAGCTCTAAAATTAGGTAACAGTGATGGTTATACAATTCTGTGCTGTGTCTTTAACAAACACTGAATTGTATACTTCAAAAGGGTGAATTTGGGCTGGGAGGGTGGCTCAGTGGTAAAGTGCTTGCCTCACATACATGAGGCCCTGGGTTTGATTCCTTTGCACCACATAAAAAGAAAAAGCCGGCACCAGGCAGAACTTTTTTTTTTGGGGGGGGGTCCAGTCCTGGGGCCTGAACTCTGGTCCTGGGCACTGTCCCTCAGCTCTTCAGCTCAAGGCTAGCGCTCTACCACTTGAGCCACAGCGCCACTTCTGGCTTTTTTCTTTTTGCTTATGTGGTGCTGAGGAATCTAACCCAGAGCCTCAGGCATGCAAGGCAAGCACTCTATCACTGAGCCACCTTCCCAGCCCTAGGCAGAACATTTTTGAACTGTAATCCACACAAGCCAAAAAAAAAAAACAACCAGAAGTAGCAAGTGGTAGAGCACTAGCCTTGAGCTGAAGAGCTGAGGGACAGTGCCCAGGCCCCACGACTGACCAAAAAAAAAAAAAAGGATGAAATTTATGATATAGGAATTGTGCCTCAATAAAGCTTTGCTGGATTCTCGGGATGTTGCTCAGTAGTAGAGTTGCTCCCCAATAGCATCAAAATAAATAAATAAATAAAGCTTTACTAAGCAGTGCATTCTATTTCTTGCCTGGGCTCTGTCCTCAGCTCTCCAGCTCAAGGCCAGCACTCTACCACTTGAGCCACAACACCACTTCCACTTTTCTGGTGGTTTATTGGAGATAAGAGTCTCAAGAAGCTTCAAGTTGGTGGCTCACAAGTTGGTGGCTCACGCCTGTAATCCTAGCTATTCAGGAGGCTGAGATCTGAGGATCACAGTTCAAAGCCAGCCGGGGCAGGAAAGTCCCTGAGACTATTATCTCCAATAAACCACTAGAAAACCAGAAGTGGATCTGTGGCTCAAGCAGTAGAGCGCTTGCCTTGAACTGGAGCGTGCAAGGATAGAGCCCAAACCCAGAGTTCAAGCCCCATGACTGAAAAGAGTCTCACGGAGTTTCTTGCTCGGGCTAGTTTTGAACTGTGAGTCTCAGATCTCAGACTCCAGAGTAGCTAGGATTATAGGCATGGGCAACCACTTGGCTTAAGCAGTGCATTATAAAGCAACCTCTCTGAAGGTTGTAAGCATTATGCCCACCTTTGGTGCTCAGCTCCACCCAGACCTGAGCCCCTCCCATATCTGGAGTTCCAGCCATAGAGCTGGCCCCTCCCTCTCTCTGCTCAGACCCATCTGAGCTCCCATCTACCTCACTTCCTACCCTCAGACCCTGCTGCTACCTAGATACTGGGGGCCACCATGTGCTCTCTCTTTGGGGGAAATATGGTTCCTCTAATAAAATTTGTAATAACCTTTCTCCTGTGCCTGCCTGCCTGCCTCCACATGGTCCCTGGGACAGATCCTTTCAAATGTAGCATAGAGAAGCGCTTGCAAGAGGGCACCACCACCACATTTGTTTAAGAACAGTAGACACATAAGCATTCCTTACCACCCTGAATCAGCTGCCGAGCTGCAAATAGAGCAGTAGAGCCAGTAGAGCAGTTGTTGTTGACATTGATGATAGGAATTCCAGTCAGTCCCAAACTGTGATAGATAGCTCTCTGCCCAGAAGTGGACTCACCTAGATAGGAAAACAACGAAGAAATGTAATACCTACAACACAGCAATTACAGAGCTCTGATACAACATGATACCACATTATGATTTTTTTTTTTTTTTGGTCATGGGGCATGAACTCTGGGCCTGAACACTGTCCCTCAGCTCTTCAGCTCAAGGCCAGCACTCTACCACTTGAGCCACAGTGCCACTTCCATTTTTCTGAGTGGCTTATTGGAGATAAGAGTCTCAAGGACTTTGCTGCCTGGGCTGGCTTTGAACCATGATCCTCAGATCTCAGCATTCTTGTAGCTAAGATTACAGGCATGAGCCACTGGCGCCTGGCTTAGTAGTATACTTTCACCTAGCACAAAACCAAGGGCCAGTCAGTGAATATACTACTGTCATTGTGATGATTGGTCTTGATGGCTCTGCGGTGTTTGAAAACTTGCTGCTAACTTTAGGTGTATAATTTTAGAACATACAGTTTACCACATACCATAAACGTAGCCCACACATGCCTGTTCTACTGCAGAGTAGGGGATCTTGGCATCAGCTAAAGCCTTCTTGCCTATAAGAAAAATAAAATAAAAAGGACTTATCAAAATGTACTTCAAGTATTTGCTTTAAGTGTATAAAAACTCTGAATTTAAGTCAATTTATCTCTATTGATCCAACCTGTGACCTTTACAAGTATTCATCATTCCCAAGTTGCTACATCACTTTGCCTTTTTGATACCTGTGTTATCTGTCCTAACTGCATACTTAAGAAGTATAAATACACCAAAACTAGATTTTTTTTTTTTTTTTTTTTTTTTTTTGCTGGTCGTGGGGCCTGAACTCTAGGTCTGGGTGCTGTCCCTGGAGCTCTTCAGCTCAAGGTTAATACTCTACCACTTGAGCCACAGCGCCACTTCCTGCTTTTCCTGCTTATGGGGTACTGAGGAATTGAACCCAGGGCCTCATGCATATGAGGCACCCACTCTACCACTGAGCAACCTTTCTAGCCCCCAAATCCTAGGTTCTTTTTTTTTTTTTTCTTTTTTGTCAGTCATGGGGCCTGAACTCTGGGTCTGAGCACTGTCCCTCAGCAATTCAGCTCAAGGCTAGGGCTCTACCTCTAGAGCCACAGTACCACTTACGGCTTTTTCTGTTTAAGTGGTGCTGAGGAATCGAACTCAGGGCCTCATGCATGCGAGGCAAGCACTCTACCACTGAGCCACCTTCCCAGCCCCCCTACTTTTTTTTTTGGGTCCGGTCGTGGGGCCTGAACTCTGGGCCTGGGTGCTGTCCCTCAGCTCTTCAGCTCAAGGCTAGCACTCTACCACTTGAGCCACAGTGCCACTTCCGGCTTTTTTCTTTTTGCTTATGTGGTGCTGAGGAATCAAACCCAGGGCCTCATGCATGCAAGGCAAGTGCTCTACCACTGAGCCACCTTCCCAGCCCTTTTATTTTTGTTGGTCGTGGGGCTTGAACTCTGGGCCTGAGTGCTGAGCTCAAGGCTAGCGCTCTACCACTTGAGCAGTGTCACTTCTGGTTTTCTAGTGGTTTATTGGAGATAAGAGTTTCACAGACTTTCCTGCCTAGGCTGGCTTTGAACCACGATCCTCAGATCTCAGCCCCCTTAAGCTGAAGAGCTCAGGGACAGTGCCCAGGCCCAAAGTTCAGGCCCCACAACTGACCAAAAAAAAGAAGAAAAGAAGACGAAGACGAAGAAGAAGAAGAGCTTTAAGGATACTATCCAAGCTGAAGAAAACATGTGCCAGTGGATTACACCTATAATCCTACTCAGAAGGCTGAGATTTTAAGATGGCCAGCCCAGGCAGAAAAGTCTATAAGACTTCTATCTCAATTAACCAGCAGAAAATGGGAAGTGGTGCTGAGGTTTAAATGGTAGAGAGCTAGCCTTGAGCAAACAAGCTGAGTGGGAATTCAAGCCAGAGTTAGAGCCTAGTACCAGCACCAAAGAAGAAAAAATTAGATATATGGCTTAACCTCTAAAGCACAATACTCTGTGCTTCATACTGCTGCCCTGGCCCTGTCAAAACTTCAGGATTCTGCTGCTGTCATTCACCATCTTAGCCTGCAAACATTTGTCAAGGGCATGGATGCTGTCCCTGAGCTTTTGCTTTTCTTTTGCTCAAGGATAGTGCTCTACCTCTTGAACCACAGCTCTTCTTACGGCTGCTTTTTTTTGGGGGGGTAATAAATTGGAAATAAAGAATCTCAGACTTTCCTGTCTAGGTTGGCTTTGAACTTTGATTCTCAGATCTCAGCTTCCTGAATAGCTAGGACTACAGGTATGAATTACCAGCATCCAACATGATTATCCTTTTTCTTTTTAAGAAAGGAAGACATTAGCCGGGCGCTGGTGGCTCACGCCTGTAATCCTAGCTACTCAGGAGGCTGAGATCTGAGGATCCCGGTTCAAAGCCAGCCCGGGCAGGAGAGACCGTGAGACTATCTCCAATAAACCACCAGAAAACCGGAAGTGGCGCTGTAGCTCAAGTGGTAGAGCGCTCGCCTTGAGCTGAAGAGCTGAAGGACAGCGCCCAGGCCCAGAGTTCAAGCCCCATGGCCGACAAAAAAAAAAAAAAAAGGAAGACATTGACTTTGTGACTTTGTTCTACTCCTAAGAATTCACACTAGAAATCAAGTGTCCTTCTCTCCCACAGACGTCTTTACCACCCGAAAAAAACATAAAATCTTTACTACAGCCTGCACTGCCTGTTCTGGCTTTATGGTTGCTAAGACACCAATATGCCTTCCCCTTGGCTTCTCCACTATGCTAGGAGTAAAGCCCCAGGTGAGCTCTGTGCTTCCTTTATGCTCATAAGGTAGCTATACCTTGGGAACAAGGTCAGGCCACATAGAAGCTAGGCATGTTCAAAGATTTAAATTTTCTCTATACCTGCTTCTTCTGCCAACTCAGGGTAATCTCTTGAGTTATGGCCAGGCTTCGTAAACTAGAATACAGAAGAAAATAGAAAAAGTACCATTAGATGCTTTTCTCCAACAGAACAGCTCAGAAATTCAACTATTCAAACAAAATGCACACACTCAAAAAAGTGCAATAAATACCGCAAATTTGAAAACAAAAAACAAAACATACTATTGAGAATCTGTCATGTTACTTGACTCTGAAAATAAATCACATGTCTACGGCCATACCACCCTGAACACGCCCGATCTCGTCTGAAAATAAATCACATATATTCTTGCCCTCAGGGAGCTTCCAACCAGAGAAACTGCCATGTAAACGGAATCTTTAAGGATGAGTGGGCACTAGCCAGTTGAAAGAGAAGACAATGTGGCACCATTTTTCTCAGTGGAAAACCTGCAATATTAGATAAATCAAAGTTTCAAGTACAGAGTAGAAAGTGATAAGGACAGAAAAGTAACTTAGGACCAAATGAAAATAGTTTCTGTGAGCTAGGCACTGGCTACATACTTGTAGCTACTCAGGAGGCTGAAATCTGAGGATAGTGGTTTGAACCCAGCCTGAGCAGGAAAGTCTGTGAGATTCTTATTTCCAAACACAGAAAAAGCCAGAAGTGGTGCTGTAGATCAAGTAGTAGAGGCTAGCCTTGAGCAAAAGGAGATTAGAGACAGTGTCTACACCCAGAGTTCAAGGCCCAGGACTAGGGAAAAAAATAGTACCTGCTATTTATCATATACTTACTTCTTTGTACTAAGTATATCATATATAACTCACTAATCTTCACTTTACAGAAAAAAAAAAACTAGAACAAAGAGAGAGTAAGCAAGCTCTGCAAAGGCACATAGCTACTAAGTAGTGGAACTATTATAGGCACCAATCTAAAGGCAGCTCACAAAGGGAATTTATATGTCCTGCTACAATGTCTGGCTTTTTCCTTAATAGATTTTTTTTGTTGGTGGTACTTAAGTTTGAACTCAGAGCCTTGCACTTGCTTGGCAGGCACTCCATCACTACCACTTGAGTCAGGTTCCTAGGCCTTTTATAATTTAGTTTTTTTTTTTTTTTTGGACAGTCTAGAATTTTTGCCTAGGCAGGGCCTAGACCACAATTCTCTTACTTGCATAGCTGGAATTACAAACAAGTGTTGAGAAGGGGTCTTGGTAACCTTTTGTTCAGACTGGGATTACTGATGTGTACCACAACAATTAAATTGAGACAATGGATTTTTTTAAGAGATGGGAATAAAACAATAAGATAATATGATTTATGAAAATGTCAAAAATCCAGCCAGGCTCTCTTTCTCTCTTTTTCTCTTCTTCCTTCCCCTCTGTCTCTGCACGCCTCCATCTGTTCCAGGCCCACAGTTTTCTCTCCCCCCAATAAACTCTTTTCCTGCTTGGAAAAAAAAAAAAAATCCAGCCTGGTGCTGGTGGTTCACGCCTGTAATCCTAGCTACTCAGGAAGCTGAGATCTGAGGATCATGGTTCAATTAACTACCAGAAAAACTGTAAATGGCACTGTGGCTCCAAGAGGTAGAGCACTAGACTTGACCAAAACAGCTCAGGGACAGTGCCCAGGCCCTGAGTTCAAGCCCCACAAACAATAACAACAACAAAAATCCAAAACCCTGACCAAACCAGATGTAGCATCAATGTGGGAAAATAGGAATTTTCTTTCATTGCTGGTAGAAATGTGAATTGGTACAGCCACTTTGGAAGACAGATCTAATAATCATACTCTTTTTTTTTTTCTTTTTTTTTGTCAGTCCTAGGACTTGAACTCTGGGCCTGGGCACTGTCCCTGGGCTCTTCAGGGACCTCCATGTATCTCCATGCCTGCCCCTACTCTATAGTTTTATTTTGTTATATGGGAATTTGATCATGAGATATAGAGAAGCCACATTTTGAGAGGTTAAATCAGAAGGCTTTATTAGAAAGCTAGCAACTGTAAGTGGACACATGTTCCCTCCAAAACTTGCTGCCTCCAATGTACTTAATACTGTTAGGAAACTGAACCATGAGGTTAGTAAAGAAAGAGCAGAAAAAACAATCTTAACAAATCAGGGGGGCTGGGAATGTGGCTTAGTGGTAGAGTGCTTGCCTAGCATGCATGGGAGCACTCTACCACTTGAGCCACAGCGCCACTTCCAGTTTTCTGGTTGTTTATTGGAGATAAGAGTCTCATGGACTTTCCTGCCTGGGCTGGCTTTGAACTGTGATCCTCAGATCTCAGCCTCCTGAGTAGCTAGGATTACAGGCATGAGCCACCAGTGCCCCACTTAATCATACTCTTTGGTGTTTACCCAAAGGAGCAGAAAAGTTATGTCCATACAAAAATCTCCACAAAATTCTTTAACAGCATTATCCATAGTTGCTAAGAATCCTTATTCTAAGCACCCAAAATCTCCTTCAGTAGAGGTAAATGAGTAAACAATGACAAATTGCAAGATGGATACTGGGTCTAACTGGTGCCATCTTGGCATCTTGGTGGGTGATGGGGACTTTGCCAAAACTTTTAGAGGTGAAATCCTACTCCAACCCCAGGTGATAGGCGCCTGAATTCCTAGACGAAAGGGTGGCAACTTGGACAAAAAGTTCCCTGACCTGCCCAGAGGTACGCCAGGAACTCAAGACTCTAAACTCTGGAGCTGTGACTTTGACCCTGACCAGACCCTATTTGGCCACCACCACCACCACCCACCACCACCATCATCACCACAACCCCCCCCCCCCCCACACACACACACACGTCAGGCATCATTGCACCATGCCTCCTGATTCTCCTCAGGTCATGATGGCATACCTCTTCAACTCTTCATAAGAGTTGATCTGATTTGTTTTGGGGGTTGTTTGTTTGTTTGCTTTTGCCAGTCCTGGGCCTTGAATTCAGGGCCTGGGCACTGCTCCTGAGCTTCTTTTGCTCAAGGCTAGCACTCTACCACTTGAGCCACAATACCACTTCCAGCTTTTTCTGCGCATGTAGTGCTGAGGAATCGAACCTAGGGCCTCATGCATGCAAGGCAAGCGCTCTACCACTGAGCCACCTTCCCAGCCCTTTCAGGATTTTCCTCAGATCTCTGTTGGTTTGCTCTTATATCCATATTGTTCCTGTGGGTCAATACCTATGGTTTATCTCCGTGGGATCTGCACAGTACCAGTAGTGACAGACACAAAGCCAGTGTCGCACAAATAAGAGAAAAGAAACTACAGCCGTCTGGGCCCTGCTGGAGTGTGGAGGAGGCCGTGGGAGCCTCTGGACTTTCCTCCTCCACACTGGGGATCGTGATGACGTTCACGACCTGACTCCCCCACGCAGCGCAGGCCCCGGGGTTCTCCTGGGAGAGAACGGGCTGCAGAACAAGCTCGGAACATTATGACCCCACAGACAGTACCGTCACGCCCCACTCGAGTCGCCTCCCTAACGGCCCACAGATCAAAGCCCCGGCGCTGGGAGGGCGGCTGTCCGGGCAGGAAGGACAGACAGCATCTCCCGCCGCCTCAGGGCACCAGCGCGGGGGCTGGTGCGGCTAGGGGGCCGGCTCCCGCCGCCCGCGGCTGTTACCTCGGTCATGCCAACCCCCACCACAAACGCCCGGCGCAGGTGCGGGGACTTGTACTCCAGAGAAGGCATGGCTTGATTTGCGCAGGGACGCGGAGGAGGCAGAGGACGCGTGCACAGCGGACGCGGCCTTCCGGGAGACTGAGCCCCCGGCGCTCTCAGAACTAGAAACAGGGCCTCGGCAGCGGGGGCGGGGCTGAGGGCGGTGACGCGGGCGGTGCCGGATTCCGGGGGTGTGGCCGGATTCTGGGGGTGTGGCCAGTGCGGAGTAGGCGGTCTCAGGGTGGGGCCAAAGCTGGGGCCGGCGCGTTTGGATGTCTGCGCGTGCGTGGCAGCGACGTGAGCGACTCTTGTGTCCAGTGGGCCGTTCGGTTAAACTTTAGCCCAGTCAGTACCTGAGCTAGAGGGGCTGAGGGACTTCAACTGAAAGAAAACAAGGCAGTCAGTACTAGCAACTCAGGAATCAGACCTGTAATGATCCAAGTTCAAAGTCAACCCGGCTCCAAAAAGTCCATGAGACTCTGACCTCCAATTTACTACCAAAAAGCCACAAGTGAAACTGTGGCTCAAGTGGAAGAGCGCCAACCTCGAGCAAAAAAAGTCAAGCGAGAGCACTGGCCCTCGAGTTCAAGGCCCAGCCCTGGCACGGGCACCGGCGGGCCCATGTGCCCACACACACACACACACACACACACACACCAGTGTGGCCACACTTTGACCTGGAGCGTTTAATCATTATGCGTTTGTTTCAACCTGCCCCCAATTCCTTGGTTAAACAGTCTTAAATTTATTGAGGTGCTTGCTTTTTGCCTCTTCCCACAATATGACCAGGTGCCAGGTGCCCCAAGCCAAGAAATAAACCTCTTTTAAAAATTATTTTTGGTCAGTCGTGGGGCCTGAACTCTGGGCCTGGGCGCTGTTCCTCAGCTCTTCAGCTCAAGGCTAGCGCTCTACCACTTGAGCCACAGCGCCACTTCCAGTTTTTCTTTTTTGTTGTTGTTTTTCTGTTGCTTTTTTCTGTGGTGCTGAGGAATGGAACCCAGGCCTCATGCATGCGAGGCAAGCACTCTATGACTGAGCCCTCCCCCGCCCCCAAAAGTATCTTTTATCTACCCTTCACCATAACTTGTCACTCTTTTTCTTTCCCCTACCAATAACAGGACTTGAACTCAGGGCTCATGGCTGGTGCCCTGCCATTTGAGCCTATCTTCCAGTGAAACTTTTTGCTGGTTCATTGGAGCTAACAGTTTCACAGAACTTCCTGCCTGGGATTGCTACAAACAGAGATCCTGAGATCTCAGTCTCCTAATTAGCTAGCAAAATAGGGGTGAGCTACCAGTAGCCTTCTGTGTCTCTTCACTTACCATATAGGAGTCAGTGGTCAGACCTGACAAGTGAGAATCCTGGAGTTTGGTTCTAAGACCTAAAACTTGAGTTTACATTCCAGCTACTTGGGAAGCTGAAATAAGAGAATCTCTTGAGCACAGAAGTTTGAGACCAACCTGTGTAACCCATGGAGACAGACAGCAGATCAGAGAGAGACAGACAGCAGATCAGAGAGAGACAGACAGCAGATCAGAGAGAGACAGACAGCAGATCAGAGAGAGACAGACAGCAGATCAGAGAGAGACAGACAGCAGATCAGAGAGAGAGGTTGGGGAAGAGATTTTTGCAATCCCTCTGTGTGTGTGTGTCTGTGCAAAAACTTTTCCTCCCAGTGTTGTCCTGGGCTTGAACTCAGAGCCTCAGTCTTTTTCTTTTCTTTTTTTTTTTTTTGCTCAAGGCAAGTGCTCTACCACTTGAGCCATAACTCCTAACTCCACTTTAGGCCTCTTTTTTTTTTTGGGGGGGGGGGGCCAGTCATGGGGCCTGAATTCTGGGCCAGGGCGCTGTCCCTCAGCATTCCAGCTCAAGGCTAGCGCTATCCCACTTGAGCCACAGTGCCACTTCCGGCTTTTTTCTTTTAGCTTATGTGGTGCTGAGGAATCGAACCCAGGGCCTCAGGCATTCAAGGCAAGTGCTCTACCACTGAGCCACCTTCCCAGCCCTCTTTTTTTTTGGAGGGGGGATAGTTTATTAGAGATAAGAGTCTCACAGACTGTCCAGACTGGCTTTGAACCACAGTCCTCAGATATCTCAGCTTCTTTAGTAGCTTGGATTACAGGAGTTGGGTAATACTGTTGCTAGTATAGCTAAAAGCATTGGGCAGGATGGTATCAAGGTGCTACAAGGGAAAAAAAAATTAAGGTATTCTGAGGCTGAACACAAAGCCTCAGTAGGGGCTACCTATCTACATAGCCTATCTCTGGGGAGAAGGATATTTGCAAATTGAAGCTGATTGGCCTTGGGAATATTGCAAGGGAGTACCATAGGTTCAAAACATCTATATATAGACATTGGAGTGAATCAGAGCCTGTGGGTAGAAGGGTGAAGATTAAGGATCAATAAAGAATTATCAGGTTACAAATAGGCCAATTGAGAGCCAGGCACAGTTGGTTCCTGCCTCTAATCCTAGCTACTCAGAAGGCTGAGATCTGAGAGGATTATGGTTCAAAGCCAGCCCAGCAGGAATGTCTGTGAGACTGTTATCTCCAATTAACCACCAGAAAACCAGAAGTAGAGCTGTGGCTTAAGTGGTAGAGGGCAAGCCTTGAGCTGAAGAGCTGAGGGACAGCGCCCAGGCCCAGAGTTCAAGCCCCATGACCAAAAAAAAAAGGCCAATTAATACATGTTCTAGTTGATTAAAGAAAGAAGACACTAAGAATCTCCCTTTTTTCTAACTAGGGCCTACCACAAGGAAAGGTACTAAGTATACATGTGTTTCTTGAAACCTCACTGGCTGATAAAGGCAGAAATGTGATTTGTAGGTCAAACATAGCTTACCAACCAAATAGAATCAGAAATCAGAAATTATAGGGTCCAAAGTAATTATTATACAACAAAATTGGCTGACCACTTGGTCTCAAATTCATCATAGGAGTCAATAGATGAAGATAAGATAAAGAAATTTGTCAATATTGAAAAGGTTGAGGGAGGAGCCGTTACTGGAGCCAGAGCTGCGGGATTAAGCCCGATGAAGATGACCACCTCCGAAAAGCATGGGAGAAAAGCCAGTGGGGAGCCTGACCGGGATTGGTGAAGTCCTGGGCAAGAGGCTGGAGGAAAGGGGCCTTGACAAGTCCTATGTGGTCCTTGGCCAATTTCTGGTGCTAAAGAAAGATGAAGACCTCTTCTGGGAATGGCTGAAGGACACATGTGGTGCCAGCACAAAGCAGCCCCTCCCCTCTGGTCTATGGAATGCCATGTGGCCCCTTTTATGGGAGAAGTCACTGTCCTTGTAAAGTTTTTTAGATCAATAAAGTCAGTGGCCTTTAAAACAAAAGGTTGAAAACAGGATTGGATAATTTTTTAAACTCCATTGCCACAAAACACCTGGAAATGCTGGATATATATATATATATATATATATATATATATATATATATATATTTTCCCCCCCCCCCATTGGTCGTGGGGCTTGAACTCTGGGCCTAGACACTGTCCCTCCACTCTTCAGCTCAAGACAAGCGCTCTCCTGCTTGAGCCACAGAGCCACTTTTAGTTTTCTAATGGTTTATTGGAGATAAGAGTCTCACAGACTTTCCTGCCCGGGCTGGCTTGAAGCTCGATCCTCAGATCTCAGCCCCCTGAGTAGCTAGGATTACAGGTGTGAGCCATCAGCACCCGGCTGGATAAAAATATTTTTAAATGAAAGGAATATGAGCTGGGTGCTGGTGGCTCACACCTATAATCCTAGCTCCATAGAGGCTGAGATCTAAAGATCACAGCTCAAAGCCATCCCAAGCAGGAAAGTGCTTGAGACTCTTCTCTCCAATTAGCCACCAGAAAACCAGAAGTAGAGCTATGCCTCAAAGTGGTAGAGCACTAGCCTTAGACAAAAGAGCTCAGGGAGAGCGCCCAGGCTCCAATCTCAAACTCTATCATTGACCAAAAAAAAAAGGACTATGAAAGGGGGGGAGGTTTTCTTTCAATTTTATATTCATCTATGTAGTTTGAATGTTTTGATTATGTTAATTTTTATTTTTGCAGTATCATATCTTCTTTATGATATCTTCTTTATGATAATCGGCTCCACCAAGGAGCCGATTCCGATGTAAGCACGCGAGAGTCGTATATTGCAAGCTGGAGCCTGGACTCACCACCATCACCAACGCAGCGGATCAGAGTTGAGAGCCATGACCCTTCCTTCAGCAGGGTTTTTATAGGGCTTCAGGGGCATTCTATACACCATAACATCACTTAGCAAATCATATCACACCGCGGGAAATTCACAAAATAATACTAAAAGATGATTAGTTTAACCAGGGACTGGGGGTTGGCTGGTTCATGGTACTGATGCTCTTCGAAATGATTGGCTAAAGCATATGATCAAAGTGGTCTTTATCTTGCAGGAACATTAGGAACTTAGCTGTAGTTAGTGGAATTTATCATAAAAGGGGTTGTTCCTGGAATTTGGGAGTTTCTGATACAGTTCCTGGAATTTCAGTTATAGTTGCTTAACAGGATGGAATCTATACCTAAGATGGCTATATTATATTTTGTTCTGGCTTCACAATTGTGTTTTGCTCTCATTTGCAATATTTATTCTTTTTTTTCTTTTTATTCAGTACTGGGATTTGAATTCATGGCCTCACATTTACAGGGCTTGCCTGCTCAGTTGGCACTTGAACCATATCTCCAGCCTAGCTTCCCTTCTTCCTTTTACCAACGCAACACTGTTTTCATTATGCAGCATTATGTAGTGAGTCTTCCAACTTTATCTCCTTTTTCAGTACTGTTTGTTATTCAAGGCCTTTCACTTCTCCATATAAATTTTGCTTCTCCATGTAAACTTAAGAATCAGTTTGTAAGTATTGACAGAAAAGCTTGTTGAAATTTTGATTGGAACTCAATCCTATTGATCAACTGAGAAATAACTGGCATTTCTTAATGTTGGGTCTTCTGATCCATGAACAAGGATGTTTTTCCATTTATTTAGGCCTCCTTTCATAATCTTTTCGCTGCTGCTGTTGCTGTTGCTGCTTCTTCTTCTTATTATTATTATTATTCTTTCTTCTTTGTGTGTGTGTGTGTATGTGTGT